TGAGGTCCCCCTCTTCCTCCTCCTCCTCAGACCCCACCCTCAGCAGGCTTCATCCCTAAAATATCCTGGAAGTTTCCAACCTGGAGTTGGCAACCCTATGTCCTTTCCTGGCAACCATCAGCCAACCTTTATCTGCCTGTCTGTCTTAAGTTTTACAACCCCCCCCCCAGCCTCTGCCTAGGGAAAGGGCAGTCTTTCCCTGCAGTGGTAACCAAAGCAGCTGACATCATTCTCCTCTCCCCTATGAGGTATGTTGTGCAACTGAAAATTCCAACTGCCTTGCGGGGGGGGGGAGTTTGAGGTGTGGAATGGAGTGAAGTCCAATCAGCTTCCTTATGCAAATGACCTTGGAACGCTGGGCGGGACTGCACAAAGCAGCCAGTCAACCCAGCCAGTGTCTCCTGAGTGGCAGTTCTTCCGGCCTAACACTAAAGGGGCCAATTTTAGAACGTTGGTGCCCACTATTCAATTATTATAAGGGAGAGATTGGTGCCTGATTATTACACACACATATATAGCACTGTTCGTCTGTTCATCACACTGTACACCTGAATTGCAAGTTATAAATGAGCACACGTATCTGCAGAACAACACAAGAGTGTGATTGTCAAACATCGCAATCTGTGCACAGGCTACCTTGGTGTCTTCCATATGTGCATTTCATCACATCCAGAGACCCATAATACCGCTAGCTGCTAAGACCAACAGTCATTAAAATCCATGGAAGCTGGTGGCTCATCGTTTTTCAAAAATCCTAGTCAGAGCCAACGTCTCTTCCAGAGTCCCTTCAAGATACAGAGATGGTCACGAGATCTAGGAAGGGCTCTTAGCCAGGATGGGGAAATGGAAGCTCCATGGTCAGAGGCAGTGTGCCTGTGAATGCCACTTGCTCAAGGGGAAAGTTGTTGCCTTCATGCCTTATTTATGGGCTTCCCAGAGTCACTGCAGGAAACAAGATCCTGGACTAGATGCACCTTTTGGCTCTTAAAGTTTATGACCCCGTAGGCAGGCACGTCACAAGTAATTTCCACTCCTATTGTCCTGTTGGGTTTAAAATTGCTCACTTTGTTACTTGTGGGGTACAGCTGCAGAATCTGGTAAGGAGCCAGTATGGATAAAGAGGAACCAGTGGATACTTCTGGGCTAAGATGTGGGATACCTGAGTTCAAATCCCACTGCTGCTCTAGATTCAGTTTTGTAGCCTTAGGAAATTACTTTGACCTTCTATTCTCAGTTTGTAAGTTAGGAGCAACTGGTCTTCCTCACATGGTGATTTTGACCAAACCCCACCCCCACCCCACAATAAAGACCATAAGGCTTTACAGAGAATAAAAGTGTATGCAGGAAGGTTTACTTAAGAGCTGAGTGAGTTTTCTCTATTGTTGGTCACCAGGCATTATGAGATTTGAAATGTGCTGTGTTGTTCTTGGGCCTTTGGCTTTACTCTGTCAATTGACTAAACTTGCCAGCAGAGTTGCCAACTCCAGGCTGGGAAATTCTTGGAGATTTGGGGGTGGAGCTTGGGGAAAACCAGATTTGGGGAGAAGAGGAATCGCAGCAGAGTATAGTGCCATAGACCCTACTCCCCAAAGCTCCCATGTTCTTCAGTGGAACTGCTCTCTGTAATGTGGAGATCAGTTGTTATTCTGGGAGGACTGTAGGCCCCCACCTGGAGGCTGGCGACCCTATTTGCCAGTGATGCTTAAAGAATGTCCGATGTGCCAGGAAGCAGGCAGAAGGGGCATATAGTGTGAAGCAGAGAAAGAGATGAGGAAAAGCAGGTTAGCGACAGAGTAGTTTCTGTCACTGGCCAGGCAGCAGGGCTTGGCTCTCCGAAACGATGGATTCCATGAATGCTTTCTGGCAAGAACTGTGCTAAATGAGTAACGCTGTTGAATGCCCAAGTCTTGTAATACTCTCTGGATGATTATTTTTCTACTGACATTTTATTGCCTCTCCCATGACACCAGAATTTAGCGATGGAAATGAACCATCTGAGTAGTTTTACATACCAGAAATTTAGGATGCTTTCTACACATGAGTGCTGTTGCTTTGGTGGCGGTGGGGGTGGGGGTGGGGAGAACCTCCATCCAAGTGTGGCTGTCATTTGTCTGCTTACTTTTAAACAAGGAGTCATGTACATGTGTTTGAGAAGAGCCATGAATAATGTGATATTCCTGGGTAAGCAAAGTTTTGTTTTTAACACACACCCTAACGTTCAA